ACGCGCGCGGGCCAGTAGTGGGTGCGCGGGCCGGCGCGCTGCAGTGGCTGCGGCGGCGATGAGGTTATCAGGGACCAATGGGGACGGGAGGATTCCTGATGGACACTTGTCTGCCTTTGCCACAGAGCGTCTCGAGCCGCGAAGAAAATGGTGGAAAATTCACCGTCGCCATTGCCAGAAAGAGCGATTTACGGCTTTGTCCTTTTCTTAAGCTCCCAGTTTGGCTTCAGTAAGTACTGGGCTGGTGGACGGCCAGGGCCCTCGCCTGCGCGGCAGAAGGACGAGCCAAGCACGCGGGAGCCGCGCGGAGCTGGCGTGATCGCCCGACACGCCCGGGGCTGCGTTGGCCGGTGCCCGCCGGCGCCCCGCCGTGGTCCCAGCGGATGCGCCGGGGCCGCAGCCGGACTCGAGGACTGCAGGAACGGCTGTCACAGTGAAGCGAGATAAGAGTCCTGGCGGCCCCGAGGGAGTCCTGAGGAAAACCCGAAGCCCTGACGCGGGCAGCCCGGGGCCCGGGGAGAAAAGAAAGGAGTCAGAAAGCAGGCGCCTGGGTCCCACACTGGCCTCCGAGGGCCCGTGTGGCAGATGAGGGGCCATGCCACTGAGGCCAGGCCGGCCCCTTATCCTGCCCCAAAGGGTTGTGATAATTACGAGGGGAACAAAACAAAGGGAGAAGTGGTGTGCTGTGGAGACCTGGGGGGGCGTGCTTCTGAATCCCACAGGAGGACGCCTCTGCAGGCCCCACACACATTTTTATGTGACTGAGCTTGTCATCCTTCAGGCCCATGAAGCACTTCCTGGAAGGACTTTCCCCATCATTCACAGCTCTGCCAGGCTAGGCTGAGGCTGTTTCATCTCCTGTACGCTCCTTACTACTTGCTACTTACTACTTGGCACTTGGCACTGTAGTGAAAGTGCCAGTTACAAATATCTTTCCCCCTAGATTTGAAAGTTGGGGAGGGCAGAGATGCTGTCACTTTAGGGTACACCTATTTTTTTAAGATTGTTTATGCACTTAAGAACTGAGGTACAGGCCAGAGGTCCAAGGGGGTGAGAGGACTCGTACAGACAGTGGGGAGCAGAACAGGCAGATCCACTGAGCTACACCGTTGAGGAGAAGGGTTGCGGGGCGGGGAAGACAGGAGAGGTCTGCTGCAGGGGGTCACTCCCTGGCCAGGGATGGAACCTGTGTTCCCCAGGGGCTGTGGACAGCTTCATAGTGCTGAGACTTCACCCCTTGCACTGCCAGGATGGCCCTGGTCCACCATCTTCTATACTTCTGAAATAGAATGTTCTGTAACACATTCTTGTCAGGAGAACAGTAACCCCTCATAATTGATAAAGGAATTTGAAATGGATCCCTGCCACTTAGCTTGGGCAGATGATATAACATTTCCAAGATTCCATTCCTTTGTCGGTAAAAATGGCTTCTATATCTTAGGGAATTGTTCTCGGGTGAAATTAAATCATGCCTATCCGGTGCCTTAATCACACCCCACAGTGGGCGCTCACAGGCTAGCCGGTATTGCAGAGGGCCAGCAGCAGGGCGCCACCGTGGCGGGGGGGCCAGACAAGTAGATGGACACTTTGAAGCAGCTACAAGTCTGGGACAGATGAAGTGTAAGGAACGCTGTGGGTAAAGCCAGCTGCTGAGTCTGGAAGGAATGCAGCCCTGTGCCAACGTGGTTTCTGCCCTGAAAGTGCTTGAAATAGTAGTGTGCGAATGAAGACATGTTAGGAGAAATTAGAAATGGGGGGGTCACTTAGTGGGAGCAGTGTTTCAGATTTGCACGATGAAATAATTACGGAAATCTTTCCCAGCAATGCAGATGTGCTTAACACTACCAAACTATACTCTTAAAAGTGGTTGGGATGGCAAATCTTACCTTCTTGTAACACAACTGAAAAAAATGACTAATGTTTAAGTATTGCAAGAGTGGTACAAAAAAGTTGAAAGAAATGAAAAGAGTTAAAAATCAAGGAAGCTTGAAGGACCCTTTATCGTATGCAGACCTTTATCGCCTAGATGCATGCCTGACTGGTGCCTTTTGTATTTTTTTCTCTCTACAGTTCTCTATCTTGTATGGGCTTTCATTCCTGAATCTTGGCTAAACTCCTTAGGCTTAACATACTGGCCTCAAAAGTAAGTTTATTGTTTTTCATAAATAAATTAATGCCATTTTGTCAGGTTTTTGCTTAAGACTTTTAAGATTCATAAATAGCTATCTAGAAATATAAAGCTTTTTAAATATCATTATTAATAGACCTCTAAGGTGGTGATTTGAGCACACATGTTGATCTCAATTCCCTCCCAACATCTTGTTAAAATAACCCTGTGGAGCTGGGGGGGGGGGATATTTCTTAAGTGAAAATCCCTAGGAACAGGTAATGGATAGCAGATAAGAAGTAGCAACAAAATTCGAGGAAGTAGAGTGCACGTAAGTGAGAGGTGCCTGGCCTCCACCTCCCCAACAGAAGTTTCATTCTCTGGAAAGGTTGAGTGGTGATCCCTAGACGCTTAGTCTGGGGGCAATGAGGCACCTTACTAAGACAGGTTTCTGCATCGCTGAATAAACTCCCCAAACAGCTCTGTCACTAGGCTGTCAGGCTTGTTGCCACACTCATCCTGCCTTCCTCCTCCCAGCCAAAGGTGTGAGGTTCCTTCCTGAGGGAGCTCATCAGCTCAAGAGAAAGGATGGCTAGTTGGCATTTACCCGTCTACCCCCAGTGAAACGGCCGGTCAGCTCACATACATGGGCTTCCAGTTCACCTGTTGGCATGTGTCTGAATGGGAATGGACGGCTGTAACTTATCGGACATTTTTTTTTAAGCTACTAAAATGAAATCCAAAAGAAAATAGAACTTGAAGGGAGTAGAGAGAATAACAAGGGCAGAGATAAAATACTCAGAGATAAGAAAAGACTATAGTCAGGGAACAACAGAATGTTTAAGGAGTTGGGAAATTACATGCAGACTAGCCAAAGAATTACTAAAGGTTTGGAAGTTAAATCTCCATAAAGTAGAACAAAAGACAGCAAAATGGAAAATAAATGTGAGGAAAGCATAACAGGGCAAAACCTAATTTTTAAAAGTTCCAGAAATAGGCCCTCCCTGATGATGCAAAGGGTTAAAACGCAGCACCGCAAGCTGGCTGCAGCCGCTTCAGTGAAAGTTCCACCCCTGACCTGGGGTGGCCCATGTGGCACAGCAGACCCCTCCTGTCTCTCAGCTGCTCCCCTCTCCTGTACTTCATCAATCTGCCTGTTCTGCTCCCCTCTCTATCTCTAGTAAAACTTCTCACCCCCCTGCACCTCTGGCCTATACCCCAGTTCTGTCTGCAGAAATAAATAAATCTTTAAAAATAAAGTTCCAGAAATGAAAGTAGGAAGGAAATGATGAAAGAATCAATGCCCTACTAAGGCTTTAAGGTAGAGCACTCTAGAGATGTAGCAGCTTTTGAGATGTCTGAGAATCCCATCATGAAGGTGAGACTAGGGTATTGATATATAACATGGAAACCAAACAGAGTAAAAGGATTCCTGATGCCAGGAAAAGCAAGAACATGTTTTAAAAAACAATAACAAAAATAAATAATACACTAATGTGCTCAGTTGCAAGCATTATGTAGTCAGTAATTTTGAGTAACAGTTGGTGTGACCAAAGATGTGATTATTATAAAAGACTAGAAGGAAGGTAAGATGCAAGGTGTAAATGAATTGAATTACTCACCTCTGTGTTAGGAAGTCTAGAGAAAATGCCATCCAAAAAGTCAGGGTGAATATGAAAGTGTTACATAATTGTGGGCGAGAAATACCAAAAGGAACAGCCCAGGAGCTGCAAGTGTCCCCTGTTTGGGGAATTAAGACTCCAGAGGCCAGATGGAGATTGTGAGCAGGCAGTTTTTCACTGTGGCCCTCATAGAACTATTTGGTTGTCTTTTATGTCTTTTTTTAATAAAAATAAAATTTTTGTTTAAAAATTAATCTGTAAACGTGGTAATGGACTCGAGACCATCTGCAGGAGGTCGCTGCCTGTGCCCCTGTTCTCTCCACAGGTACTGGGCGGTGGCCTTGCCCGTCTACCTCCTCATCACGATAGTGATTGGTTATGTGCTCTTATTTGGGGTAAACATGATGAGTACCTCCCCGCTCGACTCCATTCATACAGTCACAGGTAACTTTGTCGAAAAAAAGTACTGGGCCGGGAGGATGGGGTATTAGTAGCACTTTCGTCCAGAAAACTAACCAAAACAGGCTGCGATCGCTTTTATACATTAGCACAGTGAAAGCAGCTGCACCAGAAGAGATGCTTACGTGGCAGGAGTGAGTTCCGATGAACGTGCTGGTTTACCGCACTAGATGTCAGGTGTATTGTCCCATGAAGTCCCAAGTCTGTGTTCCTCCAACTTTGAGAGAAATGCGACTTTGGGCCAGGGGTGGTGGTGATGTCCATGCACACTTGGTGGGAGGGGCCCGGGGGTGTGTCCCCAGGCCCCTGCGTGTCTCGAGGCAGCTAAGTGGCCCCAAGAGCCAAAGTGTGTTTCTGTGATTTTACTTTCTTTTGGTTCTTTTCTTCATTATTCTAATAAATTTGACAGAAGTAATGAACTTGCTTAGAGGAAGTAAAGTATCTTTTAAGTCCTCTGGGATGAATTTTTAACATTCAAAGCCTTTTTCACGAGCGTATGCTGTGTATTTTGAAAATCACCCAGTATCATATTCCCTGAATTCTTAACTAGAATTATAGCAAATAGGTTGTGAAATTAAGGGGAAATTAAACTTATGTAAATGGTTTTGTAGCAAATGATTTGTTTGGGATATTGGTTTATGGATTTAAATGTTTTCTAAGCTTGGGTATAATTCTGTCTCTTATGGGACTTTAGTCATTATTATACAGTTGAATGAAATACTAGTTTCTTACACATATTAGAGAAGTGAAAGGACTTTGCAGATTTTTATTCTAATTGGGACTTTTCTAAAGAGAGAGTGTAAGTCATCTTGTATCGTGTTAAGCATGGTATTTGTTATTATTCAGACATGAGCCTTGTAAACTATGTGGTGGATCTCCATCAAGCACAAAAACTATAGGGTAAGCGGTTTTTGTCCTCTTACAGATAACTATGCTAAAAATCAACAGCAGAAGAAGTACCAAGAAGAGGCCATCCCAGCACTAAGAGATATTCCTATTAGTGAAGTAAACCAAATGTTCTTTCTAGCAACCAAAGACCCTTCTAACACTAAAAACTGAATTGTATGTAGACTAACACCAAGCATTTGTTTTAATTTTTTGGCCACAATTACTTTGACTTAATATTGAAATGTTAAAAAAAAATGAGCTTTTCTTCGATTGACTTCTGTTAATATTATAAGTGTTCTCATATACTAGTCGTTAGTGGCTAGAAAAAATAAAATAACTGCATTGCCAGATAGCAGACTTTAAAAAGTAGGGGAAGTATAAGATGCTCCAGAGAGCCTTCATGTTGTTATTTGCAAAGGGCAGTTATATTCTTTCAGCTGTTTGCTTTTAGCGGACCTAGAATTCAAGTTCTTCGATTTGGGGAAAGAGCACATTTACTGTGTGTGGCCTTGCTGTCAGATTCCTGTCTGTGTACCAGGCATTCTGAGATACTGTGGGACTGTGCAGAGGACTAAGGTAGGGTTATCTTCTAGAAAGTGAAGGGCGGTGATAGGGGAAGGCCATTCAGAGGGAGACAGTTTAGATTAAGATCGGGTTGTCCAAACTCGGGCCAGTAGGATTGGGGAGTGAGGTGGCCTCCAAGTAAGAAGCACCAGGGCAGAGACCTTCTGGAGGGCAGGAGCTTGTTGTGGCCTGTGGGAAGCAGGACAGCAGGGATCCTAGATCATACCACATAAGGGAGATCCTGGCAGGAGTTCTTGCCCGTAGCACAGAGTGGCAGCAGTGAGCCCCGGGGGAGGCGACCGCTTGGCAACGTTTGTTGGAGACACACTGGAGTGACTGGGTAGGTGGGTCTGATTGTGCAGGGTGGGCAGACTACAGAGGGAAACTGTGACCAGAGGTCATTCCCAGTTTTTTTTGTTTTGGATTAAGGACCTGAGTAGAGTCTGAAATTTCAGCTTCCACTTCTGGCTGGCATGAGGGACAGGCTGCTGAAATGAGTGCTCTCTGGGCTACAAAGAACCTTCTGGCTCTGGACCCACAGGAAGAGCTAGCGGAGCTGCCAAAAGATGACCCCTTAAGCTCCAGTGAAGAGGAGGGGGGCAGTGAGAGAGAGAGAAAACACCAAAAATTTCTGGAAGCAATCAGTTCCCTCGATGGAAAGAATGGGTGGAAGCTGCCTGAGCGCTCTGAGGCTAGTCTGACAGTGTCAGAGTTCAGTATCAGTTCTGAAGGGTCAGGAGAAAAGCTGGTCCTCTCTGACCTGTTTGAGTCTCTTAAAGCAGCACCATCCTCACTGGCCACTGTGAAAAAGCAGCTGAATAGAGTCAAATCAAAGAAGACTGTGGATTTACCCCTCAGTGAAGAGGAAGTGGCGCAGACCCACAGGCAGGTGGCGTCCAGAGAGGCCTCACAGGCCCTTTCCAAGTGGGATCCCATTGTTCTGAAGAACCG